GAATGGAGATGACGCTTCTACGAGGCTCTGCTTTGAGAAGTTGAGCTAGCAATGTTTGTACAACATCCTGAAAGCCAACAAAAATGTCATCATCATCTATATATGAGGTAGTTCTCCTCAATGTTGTAACCTGATTACTTGACCCTTCTCCAGCATTACTATTGATATTTGTAATACCATAAGTCTCTCGTTTGCGAGAGATATCCATGATTCGCTGCTTGAGTGATTGGATCTCCTCTGCGACATTGTAGAATTTCTTCTCCTTCCTACATATGCAAGCGCAAGCCTTGAGACGACTAGCACCTTTACCAGCCTCGAAACTGTAAGTCTCGAGTATAGCAACAGCGTCATTAGCAATAGAGTTGATCTCAAACACCCATTGTTGAATTCTATGATCTCCACTTTTCTTTTGTTCTGCATCTTTGAGGAATGACTGTATGATGAGTAGCTCAGTTTTCAGCCATCCAATTTCATCTCTGAGATTTGTTCGCAGTGAAACTTGTTGTATTAGGAAATCACCCAATTTTTGAACAGCAAATGAAACAACGGCATCAGCCATCTTCAAGAATACTACTTTTGATTGAAAATAAGAGGGGGCTGTATATTGGAATAATTATTCGAAAATAGGAGATGGAGATATATATTGAAAATACAAGGTGGAAAATGGGAGATAGAGATCAAAGCAATAGACATAAAAGTAAGACCTCAAATAATGTGTTCAAAGGGTCCACTTATCACTTATGTGATTAATGTTTAGAAAAAAACGAAACATGACCAAGTTTAGAAAATTTTCTTTGAAATATCATTCATTTAGAATAAAAAAATCACTCAATTCTTACTAATTTTCTTGACACTTCAAAAGCCCCACTATTTCCTAATTGGCATGACATGTCATGAAAGTTTTTTTTTTTAGTAATAGGCTAATTTAATTCATTAAACCATTTAACTAATATAATGATCTTATTATTTAAAAAAAAATATATATTAGTTTATTAAGAAGAAATCTTCATTCTTAAGAATTTTTTATCATAATTATTTTTTTTTATTTTTTTATGCTATGAAGAATAGTTTTTTGACACTTACCATAATGTCATCAATTTTGAATAATTATAAACACATATATGGAAAAAATATTGATATATAAATCACTTATGAATGTCAACTTACATCAATTAATCATATATTAGATAATGGATCAATAATATTAAAGGTTAATTAACAATTAAAAAACATTAATTAGGTGCTTTGAAATCCATATATACTTACAATGTCTTTTTAAAAAAAAATAAAAAATAGAAAGTGAATAATATTTATATTAGACAATAAAATTTTGATCTTTATTTATCAGTATATTAATCTCATATAATATGTATAGGCAATTCAATTAATTATTACTTGTATTTCATGAATTTAGGATGAGATAAGAAAATATATTGGTGTTTTAAATTGTAATGAGAAGTTAAAATATAATATAATATAATATAGAATAAAAGAATAAAAATAAAAATTAAATTAAAAAAAGTTGAAATAATAATTTTCTCTTTCTTACCAACTTTTTTTTGTCAACCTTACAAATTTATTTGAATACTTTTATGAAAAACTTGCTTAAAATGTTCAAATAATTTACTGTGAAATTTTTAAAATTACCAGGTAATAATTGCGCACAGAGGTTTTTTCATTGAATTTTGTTTGGTAAAAATATATAAAGGAATTAGATTTTTTTTTATAATCTTCATAAATTCTCATGTAATTTATATATTTGTTTTGTAGAGACATAAGTTTGATGAATTAAATAGGTCTATTATTTTTTAAAGGATGATTTAATGACATGACATATCAACTAGAATGGAAGAAGCTTTTTAGGTATTTAGTATTATTTTTTTTGGATAAAAATATAATATTATTCACTTTTTATTTTTTCAAAAAAAATATATTGTAAGCATGAATTTCAAAACACACAATTAATATTATTGTAAGTTTACCTCCAATGCTTTTTTTACAGCAAGATCGCGAAGTAGATCATGAATCCTACATTTACTAACTTTTTCCCAAAATGTTCTTGCCGCTTGTATCAAGCTTCGTCTTATCAGCTCATTCAAGAAGCCTTTAGCAACATCTTCCATTATTTCTTTACCTGTTGGTACGAATCCTTCAGCCAATCACAACCATAATATGTGATTAACATGGACCACGTGATCTTCTGGAAAAATACCAAAGTACAGGAAACACTGCTTGAGCGCAGTTGACAAATTGTTGTAGCTCAATGATAGTATGCAGGAGACTTCACTAGAGTCGTCTTTAATGTTTTGCCAAAGGTGGTCCTTCACCTTTTGCCATTCTTCGAACCCCCTTTTATGTGAAAGTAGTCCGCTTAGTACAACAACTGCAAGAGGTAAACCTCCACACTTGTCCACCATTTCCTTTGCTAGCCTTTCCATTGCTGAGACCATTGCCCGAACATCAAGTTGTTTCCTACAAAAGAGATCCCAACTTTCTTCTTGGCTCAGGGAACGAAGTCTATAGACAAAACCTTTGTTATCTGCTCAGCGACATCCTCTTTGCGTGTGGTAATAATACTTCTGCTGCCGTTCTTGCTATCTGGAAATGCTCGTTTCAAACTTTCCCATGCTTCTCTATGCCATAAATCATCGACCACCACAAGGTATTTGGGTTCTTTTAAAAGATCACGAAGGTAAATTTCTAGAACTCTCTCTGTCATCTTTTCCAACAAATCTAGAGTTTCCTTGGTGCAACTCGAACTTAAAATCTCATACTTATTTAATACTTAGTTATGACAAGAAACAAAACGTGGGCAGTGGCGGAACAAGAAATTTATACAAGGAGATTTTTCTTTAAAAAAATCTTGAATGTCACCGTTGTAATTTAAACACATGACCTAAAGCCAAAACAAAAAGAAACATGCTTATTATTTCTAAAATCCGACTTGCTCCATGTAAATTTCTTGAACTGCTTGGCAAAAGTTCCACACCTGACAGCTGCTGCTTCTCCTATTCACCAAAATTGTAACACACTATTTAATATGAGAATAGTAAACAATAAAGAAAAAAAGATTTATCAATAACCTAAATTGATGATTAATCATAATGATCAGGACAGAATCAAGTGTTAACCAAATAATAGATTGCCAATACAATTCAGTGTGTTTTTGGCATGAAGAAAATCTTTTTGTTGATAACTATTGTTTCGTGTAGTTCGATTGTAATATTAGTAACTTTTTCCCAAAATGTATCCACCACTTGAACCAAGCTTCGTCTTATCAGCTCATTCAAGAAGCCTTCAGCGACATCCTCTATTCTTTCTTCTCCTCTTGGTATGATGAAACCCTCTGCCATCCACAACCGCATTATGTCTTCAGCATAGATCACTCGATCTTCTGGAAAAATACCAAAGTAGAGAAAACACTTCTTGAGCGCAGATGACAAATCGTTGAAGCTTAATGATAGTATGTAGGAGATTTCAATAGAGTCTTCTTCAATGTCCTTCCAAAGGCAGTCTTTCACGTTTTGCCATTTGTCTAGCCCCCATCTATGCGAAAGTAGTCCACTCAATACAACAATTGCAAGAGGTAAGCCTCTACATTTTCCCACCATATCCTTAGCTAGACTTTCCATTGCTGGAACCATTGCTCGAACATCAAGTAGTTTCCTACAAAAGAGGTCCCAACTTTCTTCTTGGCTTAGGAAACGAAGTTTATGGACAAAACCTCTATCGTCTGCTCTTTCAGCGACATCCCCTTGGCGCGTTGTGATATGGAATGGTTTCTTGGATTATAAATGTCATAGAAGTTTACCTCCAATGCCTTTTGTATGGAAAGATCACGAACTGCATCATGAACCCAACACAGAAGAACTTTCTCCCAAAGTGTTCCAGCCACTTGAACTAAGCTTCGTCTTCCATTCTTTCTTCTCCATTAGGTATGAAACCCTCGGCCATCCACAACCATATTATGTATTCAGCATCGACCTCTTGATCTTCTGGAAAAAGGCCAAAGTACAGAAAACACTGCTTGAGTGCAGTTGACAAATCGTTAGAGCTCAATGATAGTATGTAGGAGATTTCAATCGAGTTGTTTTCAATGTTCTGCCAAAGGTGATCTTTCACCTTTTGCCATTCATCTAGCCCCCTTTTATGCGAAAGTAGTCCGCTCAGTACAACAATTGCAAGAGGTAAGCCTCTACACTTGTCCACCATATCCATAGCTAGCCTCTCCATTGCTGAGGTCATTGCTCGAACATCAAGTAGTTTCCTACAAAAGGGATCCCAACTTTCTTCATGGCTTAGAAAACGAAGTTTATGGACAAAACCTCTGTCGTCTGCTCTTTCAGCGACATCCTCTTTGTGCGTGGTATAATAACTCTGCTTCCATTCTTGCTATCCGGGAATGCTCTTTTCAAATTCTCCCATGCTTCTCTCTGCCATACATCACATTTGCATTCTTTTAATAGATCGCGAAGGTAAATTTCTAGATCTCCTTCCTTCTATCATCCTTCCCAACAAATCTAGAGTCAGTTAGGTGAAAAAGGCATGTAATTAAATTTGAGTCAGTAAATTAGACTTCTAATGATTGGATTATTTTGGTATGCGTTGCATCTCTAATTTTACAGTATAAGTAGTTTTCGAATCTGTCTGAAACCAAAAACCAAAAACTTAATATACCGAAGTTAGTTAGATAAATGAACTCCTTTGCTATTCAAGGAGGAACAAAAAATACTAAATTGTGGACAAGTTTTAATTTAACATATAAAGCATTGTCTTAAATGTGGATAAGTAAGGGAACATACAGTAGACAATTAATTAATACATCACAAAATCATTTTTGTCAAAAACAATTATGTTCAAACCAATTAGACTCACTCAAAAAGCTTAAAACAATAAGAAATCAAACACTAAAACCACTCTCATTGACAGCCCTGAAATAACCAATGTCTTCAAGTGCTTGGCAGAAATTCCCCCATCAATACCTCTTAGATTTTGAAGAGGCCGAAATAAGAGATGATATATGCTAGAAAAGCTTCACCACGTATAATTCCTCTTCAACAGCTCCACGTCTTTCATTCTCTCGGGAATCTCCTTTAAATTTGGACAGTCATCGTTACCAAGACCTTTAATCAGAGGCATGGCACTTGTGCCTAAATCCCATCTTTCTAGCTTCTCAAGATCATAAAGATGAAGGAACTCTAGTTGACTGAAGCTGTTATTACTGCACATTATTTCTTTTCCTTCATAAGCTCTAAGCAAATCGAGATTCCTCAGGTTTGGCAATATTCCCAAAATAGGCATCGGATCTTCTGTCAGTACTGAGAACCTCAGAACCATCGTTGTGATGGAATTTGGAAACAGATGAGGCAGTTTCTCTATTCTCCCTTCTAACCTCAATTTCTTGAGCTTTTCACAACAATTAACAAATTCAAGAGATGGGAATGATTCATCAGCACAACACAACAATCTAAGAGTGCTAAGGTTTTTCAAGCTGCGAATGTTGTTTAGGGAGTAAGGTTTGGTAATATCATGCATGCTTAATTCTCGAAGATTGACTAAATCAACAGGGTCAACATCTTTCCATTGATCACAACAGATGTTTTGAAGAACTTGAAGACTAGTGAGTTTGCTTATACGTTCCAGAGGTTTTGAATACAGGGCAACAAAATGTCTTAGAATTATTAGCTCAGCTGTCTCATGGGGTAGTTCACAATACTGTATGCCGTCATTGACATAGAGTGTCTGTAAATTCTTGAGGTTGCCAATGGAAGAGGGAAGACCTTGGATGCCTCTCAATCTTAAGAACTTGAGGTGGTACAAACTTCCTATGGCATCAGGTACTATAGACATATTCCCACCATGCATATGCAAGTACAACACATATAGATGCTGGAACACACTCCTGAAGTTTATAAGACTCATCTTACGAAAATTTGGATTGAAGAACATAATTGACCTCAACTTTAAGTTAGAAAGATCAAGTGAGAGGTACCTTTCTCCTTGACTATGAATCACATGTCTGATACATAAAGAGGATATGGAGTGGCTTCTTGGATCATAAATGTCAAAGAAGTTACTTCCAATGCCTTTTGTATCGCAAGATCATGGAGTAAATCATGAACCCTACATTCAGTAAATCTTTCCCAATATGTTTTTGCCACTTGAACCAAGCTTCGTCTTATAAGTTCATTCAAGAAGCCTTCAGCGACATCGTCCATTCTTTCTTCTCCTATGGGTGTGAAACCCTCGACCATCCACAACCGTATTATGCTATCAGCCCCGAGCACTTGATCTTGTGGAAAAATACCAAAGTAGAGAAAACACTGCTTGAGTGCAGTTGACAAATCATTGTAGCTTAAGGATAGTATCTTGGAGATTTCAATAGATTTATCTTCTTTAATGTTCTTCCAAAGGTGATCTTTCACCTTTTGCCATTCGTTTAGCCCCTTTTTATGCGAAAGTAGTCCGCTCAATACAACAATTGCAAGAGGTAAGCCTCTACACTTTTCCACCATATCCTTAGCTAGACTTTCCATTTCTGGAGCCATTGTTCGAACATCAAGTAGTTTCCTACTAAAGAGATCCCAATTTTCTTCTTGGCTTAGGAAACGAAGTTTATGGACAAAACCTCTGTTGTCTGCTCTTTCAGCGACATCCTCTTTGCGCGTGGTAATAATGACTCTGCTGCCATTCTTGCCATCCGGGAATGCTCTTTTCAAACTCTCCCATGCTTCTCTCTGCCATACATCATCAACCACCACAAGGTATTTGTGCTCTTTTAATAGATCACAAAGGTAAATTTCTAGATCTCTTTCTGTCATCCTTTCCAACGAATCTAGAGTTTCCTTAGTGCAACCTTGGATGGATTTTATGATATTCCTAAGGAGATCCATTGTGTTGTACTCTTGAGAAACACATATCCAAGCGCGTGTAGGGAAGCTATTGACTATATTAGGACTGTTATAATCCATGATTCGTTGCCTGAGTGATTGAATCTCCTTGGCGACATTGTAGAATTTCTTCTCCTTCCTACAGATGTAAGCGCAAGCCTTGAGACGACTAGCAAATCCATCGTCATCACCTTTACCAGCCTCGAAGCTGTAAGTCTCGAGTATAGCAACAGCATCATTAGCAATAGAGTTGATCTCAAACACCCATTGTTGAACTCTTTGATCTCCATATTGCTTTAGTTCTGCATCTCTGAGGAAAGACTGCATGAAGAGTAGCTCATTTCTCAGCCATCTAACTTCATCTCTCAGATTTTTACGCAGGGAAACTTGCTGTATGAGGAAATCACCCAATTTTTGAACTGCAAATGACACAAAGGCATCAGCCATCTTCAGAAGTGTTGATTTTTATCTGGAAAAGAGGGGGATGTATATTGGGATTAGAGATATACACTCAGAAGCAGTAGAGATAAATAGTGTGTTCAAAGGCTCCACTTGTGTAATTGTTGAAATATGTGTTAAAGCTTATTCAACAACCATTAAACAACTTGTGGGAAAATATCTACGGAGAAAAGTCTTAAAG